TGTTTACAGGTGTAAAAAAAAAGTTGAAAAAACAAAAAAAAAAACAGTTTAGTGGCTTAATATATCAATTATAATAGCCTATAAAAAATTATAAATTTTAACACTTTCACAGATCGTATAGATTATTTTTAAAAAAAATTTGGCAAATAATATTCTTTTTTTTCTTTCAAAATTCTGATAAAGTTTTTCACAGCAGTTAGCAGAAAACAAAAGACAAAATAATGCTACTAAAACAATGCCGTTTTTTTTTTTTGTTTTTTGGCAACGAAAACGATAATACCATAGAAAATCAGTAATATTAATACATTGAGCAAAGCTGTTTTAGTTGGTTTTACAAAAAAAAAAAAACCAAACCAACAAAATAGCTGTAAACGAGCTGTAATCTGATTTTTGTGAAGAGCATCAAAAAAAAAAAAAAGAAGAAAAATAGGAAAAAAAAAAGACAAAATGTCTATGCTTTTTAAATCCAACCAGATTTTTATGCGCTTAAAATCAACCATTTATATTCTGTGCCTTTTTTTTTGGGGCTGTTGTTATTGCTATTTCTGATGAAGACGATGATGATGAAGGAGAAGAAGGAGAAGGAGAAGAAGAAGAAGAAGAAGAAGGAGAAGGAGAAGAAGAAGAAGAAGAAGAAGAAGAAGAAGAAGGAGAAGCAGAATAATATACACTGTTTTTCGTACCTATGCCTTAGTTTAATCACTTTTTTTTTTTTTGAAAAATTATAAAATAGAAAGTGAATATAGAAATAAGTAAATGGTTGGACTTGAGGTTCAATGAGTTGAAAACAGGCAACTTGAACCACGACGACGACGACGACGACGACGACGACGACGACGGCGATAGCAGCATCAATGACGATAGATAGATAACTTTAATCCAGACTATTTGTCAAGTGTCATTAACAGTGATCCTTCTGAAGGTTCAAAACAAAGCATTGTTTTTTTTCCTTCTGTTTATTTGCTTCTTTCATCTTTCTTTAGTTGGAGTTTTTTATTGAATGAACAACTTCTAAGTGTAGCAAAGTTGATCACTTCAAAAGGCAGATCATTTATCTCATATTTTCTTCAAACTGCACTAAACAATTGATGAGCATCGCTAAAACAGCACACAGTTTGTGGTTGTTCTAAAAAAAAAAATCGTTGAATTGTTGAATCCAAAATTGTCAAAAAAAAAAATTCATATATTTATACCAATAAATTTTATCAAAAAAAAATTCTTTTTTTTGTCTATACACAATTTATGTACAATTTCTTAGCTGCTTTTTGTTTTTTCGTTTTTCAGTTTAATAAGAAAAGTAAGAAAAAAAAAAAAGAAACAGTTGATTTTAGATAGAATACAATAAAATTGCTGCATTTTAACCGTTTTTTAAGCGTTTAACCATTAGTAACCGTATCTGTCCAACAGTTAAGCTACAGTTTTTTTCTCCAAATTTATACTGTTCTAAATGAATAGAAAAAAGACGATGATTCTGTGCACTGATATTAACGATGTTTAATTTAATAGAGGCTGGTGGGGAGGGGGGGGGGGGAGGGGAGGAAGAGGGGAGAAGAGGCCAACAACTGTAACTGTTATCTTAAAAGATTATCAAACACATAATTTTTATTTTAAAATTTTATAGAATAAATTGCTGCTTTAAAATATGTTTTGCTGTTGTTAAAAGTTTTCACTTTTCTCCTTTCTTTTTTTTTTCGCTTCTTTTTCAGTTTTCTTTTAAAACAAACAAAGAAAAAATAAAGCTTTTTTCTTTGAGCATTAGACAACTTTATTTCATTTTATTTTATATATTTATCACAGCTTTTTTTTTTTGTAGATCGTCCAAAAAAAATTTTCTTAATGTTCAGCAACAAATCATATAAATGTTTTTCAGCCAAAAAAAAAAAAAAATTTTTTTTTTTTTAGCATTATATAAAAAGGTTACTAAGGCATAAGGCTATAGCTAATTCTTTTAGGCATTTGTTTTTTTCTGCTGCTTTTGATTTGTAATATTTACAGTGTAAAAAGAAGAAGAAGAAAAAAAAAAGTAAAGTACAGTAACAGTAATTCAGTTGTCAGTCCTACTTTTTCATAATTGTAAAAGAAATCATAAAAAGCAGTAGTGGCAAAATTGTTGACGATGACGATGACGATGTCGATGGTTAACGATTTGCAAGAAAGAATCTGGATAACAGAAAACAGAAGCCCTTCAGTGCTGTTGCTTAGGCCGCAAAACCAAAAAAAAAAATAGATACATTTAAACTTTCTGCTTGCCACTGTTCAAATTTTTTTTTTCAACTATCTGAACTTTTTAGAAAAAATTTTCACTTAGCGTTCTTTGATTGTTGATTTCTGATATGTCAACTGATGACAAACGTGAGTTTTTTTTGTTTCGCTTTTTTTTTGCTGCTGTTAAGTGGTAAAAAAAAAAGAAAGTAAGACAGATGATTTATAAAGCGAAATATTTTAAAACATACCAAATAGATAGATAATTTTAGTGAGATTTTTCAAGTATAAGTGTTTTGATACGGTTGATAGTGTGCTGTTACGGAGGGCTAAAGCTGTTGATGATTTCGATGTTGTCGTTTTTGTTATAGTCATTTAAGTGATCTTTAAACAGATAACATTTCTCTTAATAGCATCTGCTTTTTTGTTTCATCAATCTGTGTGTGTGTGTGTATTTTAATTTAGTTTGATTTTTTTTTTTTGCTTTTTTTAACCTTTTATATGTTTTTATTTTTATTTTTTTTTCCTTTTTCTTTTCCTCTCTTTTTTTTGTTCTAAGAATATGCACAAAAATTTATTAGTGAATTTCCTGGGCTGTAACATTGGGTACGCTAAGTATGTTTAGTGTAAGACAACTGATTAACACAAAATTAGCTGATTATTTTTTATTCAGTTATAACTTCATTTCTGTTCTGATCATTTATTTACAGAAGGAGAAATAAAAGAGAAGAAACTTTTAAAATATTTGTTTTTTGCTAAATTTGAACAAAAATATTTGCTGTTGTGTGATTATAAAAAGTAGAAAACGACGCTAAAAAAAAAAAATAATAATTTTGATGATAAAGAATGAAATATTATTGCTAACAGCTAACAGTGTTTCTTAACCTAAGATTTTTTGGTAAAAATAATTGTAGTATCAAAACATAGGTTAAGAAATTGACAACTGATTGTTTTCTATTCGTCTGTTAAATATATATCTTTTTTTTTGTGTGTGTGTGTGTGTGATAAATTAATATTTCAGTATAAAGTTCAGAAGGATGTGCACACAGAAGCTGGGAGGGTCAGAATCTGAATGATTGTACTCTGGCGAAGTTGTTTGGAAGCTGACGAAAGATGTTGGGATACATTTGGATAATTTTGCATTATAATGGGACTTACAATGACGACAATAATTTTGACCATCTGCTGCTATGTGTTTGTGTGTGTTTTTGTATTTATTAACTTTTGCATGATTTATTTATTTATTTATTTTTTCAAAACCTTAACAGATGGTAATAGACATATTTTAATTACATTGCTCTTTCTTTCAATTCTTTCCCTATCACAATTCAAATCCTTCAAAATCAATCTTTTGTTCTTTGATTTTTTAAAAAGTTACATATTGTCGCAAAAAAAAAAAAAATTTTTCATTTTTTTATGTCACATAAATGCATTTTTGTTTCAATTTTTTTTTAATTAATTTTATCAATAAAAAAATTTTTTTACTGTTGGTTAATTCGCTTACAAAACAGCTAAAATAATGACTGTAAAAATACAGTTATTTTGGGTAGTAAAAGTAATAATGATAATGCTTTTTTCAGTATCAACTTGTTTACTACTTTGTTTTTTTCAGCACTTATTACACATAGAGTTTGAAATTGAAACTTAAAAAAGTTTGTCAACAACATTAGAAAATAAGCAGAAATTAAACAGTGTCGTTTTTTTTCTTACTTTTTTGAAGTGTTAAAATTTAAGCAGCCAAATAAACATTTGTTTTTTTGTTTTTTTTTTTGAACATCCAGTTTTCACAACTTTTTTTTTTTTGATCTATTCAATTGGCAACATCACATTTTTTTAACGGTTATTCAGGTTTTTTTTTGTATTTGTATCAACAAATATCATTTTTTTTGCATCACTGTTAACAACAGCTTTCAGTTTTATCATTCTGTTCTACTAACAGATTAGCTTTATGCATTGATAATTCAACAGAATTTTAATCAGTTGATGCAAATAAAGACACTATTTTTGTCCTTTATTTTGAAAAAAAAAAAAATTTTTTTTTTTTTATTTGCAAGAAACTTCTTTTTGAAAAAAAAAAAAGGTTTTTTTTTAAACTACAGCGATGTTTAAAACAACAAAAAAAATGATATAGTTTTATGGAACAGTTTTTACTTTTTTTGGAACAGTGCCAACACTTAAAAAGCCATAAATAGTGATGCATTGGGGTCAGTTACCGCTACAGTTTTTATTGCTATGTGTATACAGTTGAAATAGTCGAGTAGAAAAAAAAAAAAAACAGACAAACCAATAAAAAAAAGAAAATACAAAAAAAAAA